GGTGACGTTCAGATTTGTGTTTTACAAAAACCACTCTGTTGCCTGTGGAGCAGAGATCAGAGGGAAGCGAAGCTGCAGTCACGGAGCCCGGGAGTCTGTCTGCTCCGCACCCCTCCACTGTGGGGGCTCCCCTGAGAGCAGGAGACTCGGGGCGCCAGAGCCCAGACCTGCCGGCAGGTCAGCACTGTGGGCCCAGCGTGTGGCAGAAGCGAGACACGGCCCCCCAACACAGCACTCTGGCACGGGACAGGCAGGGAGAGAGTGACTGTACACATGTTTAGTTCAATGTAATTCACACCCACGGTCTGTAATTCGGAAGCCCAGGCCTGAGTGGCACCGAGAGAACTGAGAGTAAACGTCGTGCCCGGAGCCCCAGAGCCCGAGCTCAGAGCTGTACCGGTGGCCTGCGCAGTGGGGGACACAGGGCCCCCTGAGAACCCGGAGGGTAGGTTTTCTTCTCTGTTGTGTTCAGCTCCTAGAACACCAGAGAGTCCACAGCCAGAATAGCTGTTTGAAAGGGCATAAGACAGAAGATCTTTTTTCAGAAATAACATGGCTCTCTAAGATAAGAAGAAAATTGTTAGATGTGAATTTCTATGCATGATTTTGTGAAAGGCTGTATAACAAATGTTATAGTATGGGCGGCGCCTGTGGCTCAAAGGAGTAGGGCGCCAGCCCCATATGCCAGAGGGGAGGTGGTGGGTTCAAACCCAGCCCTGGCCAAAAACTGCAAAACAAGAACAGATGTTATAGCAGAATTTGTGGAGAAGTGAAACAAGCCACTTAATGTACATTTTCCCTTAGTACTGTGTTTTTAATTCCAAGAGAGAGGTAGGTCAGGACATTGGAAATCTGATTTCACATCAGATCCTAATGAAAAAGAATGAATTTTAACTAAGTTTGCTCATGATTTTTTTTTATTTGATTAGCATATAATTTGCAAAGTTTATCAGCTTTACAACAGCCTCCATCAGCATGGGGCTAGCACCACATTGTTACAAAGAATGTCTGGGCCTGCTTTTCTAAAATTTGAAAATTTTCCTTGCTTCTTCTACATCTTTTGCAGTTACAGGCGGCTTCCGCTGGCTGCCAGGCTGCAGAAACTTCTTCACTGTGGGCACGTTGCTGATTCTGGTTTTCAGAGCCTGCAATGCAAAAATCACAGCCTCATCAGGGCCCAGCCCAAAGACCAAGCCAATTTATTAAACAGCCCGGGAAATCTGAGCCCCAGGACTACACACATAGCCCATGTCCCCTCCTTCAGCACTGGGTGCAGGCTGGGAACAGACACCAGTGAGACGTGGAGATAAGAGGAAGGACATATAATATGCTCAGTAGCATTTGCCCTGAGTGTGGTTTTAACTCCGTATTTCATCCACAGCCCTCCCTGCCTTCTTACACATTAATCCTGGAGCTTCATGGCTCTTGTGCAAGACAAGAAAAAATAAAGTCTACGAAGATATGGGAAAAAGGAGTTGGGAATGTGAGGGGCCAGGGGTAGAGTCAGAGGAAGGCTCTGTAAACAGGAGAGAATGCCAGTCCAGGGATTGGAAAGGCTATATTTAGCAGAGGAAGGAGAGAAAAGCGGAGTGGAGTCTGACCACTCTGAGGAGTCAGTCCACTTTCACACAGTTTAAAGAGGCTTTTATTATCCCTTATCAGTAGGTTTGAATGGGGGAGGAGGGTTCCCAGAGGGAGTCATTCCTTCTGCAGAGGAATTAATTTTTGTACTCAGAGAAAATTTAGGATTAACTCCCCTAATGGGCTGGCAGCCAGGGCCAGAGTAAAAGTTAGTGTTGTGCTGTTTCTCAGGAACACTGGCCTTGAAGCATTCCAGGGATTGGGGAGGAGGGTTGCTGCGATCAGTTTGGTTTCCCAAAGTGGCTGAACTCTTATCGGGGTCCTGAGGATTTCCTTCCCAAAGAATGAAGGTAGAAAATATTAAAGGCAAACCTTGGGGCCAGTCAAACCGATTTTCCCACTGAGAAGTAGAGATGGGGTAGTTGAGAGTGTGGGGGAGGCCTGGGTAGAGAGGAACACGAGGTCTGATTCCAGGGTCTGGAGGCCAGGGAAGGAAGCCAGATGGAAAGAGACCTGCCCAGACAGATGTGGTGGGGGAAGAAAATCCCCAAGAAATTGGGCACAGAGACTGCAATGGACTAGAGGGTGTGGAGAGACACTGGGGCCTGGGGCCTTTCTATTTTAAAAGGTAAAATAGCCTTCTGGGTGTAACAGTGGAAGAGCTCTCTGGCAGCTGTAACACACCCTACATAAAGGCTTTTGCTTAGCTTTGCGTGTAAGCCAGAATAGCATAGGATGAATTTAGTTTTGAGTTCATTTCGAGAAGAAAGATAATAACTACTGGGGAGATAAGGAACACACATAAGTACCAATGTGTTAAAGATTTATAGGATCATCATGACCTGACTGTTGCCCTTCAAAGTTAACAAAGAAATTTTACAACCTCCTCTGACCCTCACTGGCACCCAGATGTCTGTGTTCCTTGATTACCTACGCAGCTCACCCCTTCTCCCCTTTCCCTGAACGTAGAATGTGGTACAGTCAGTACTGACCGAAGATGGTCTTGAGGGTCACTAGTCCACCATCTTCTCATTTTGCTGACTCTTCAAATAAAAGTCACTTTCCTTGTCCCAGCCCTTGTCTCTAGAATTATTGGCTGTCCTGTGGGAAGTGGTAAGAGCCTGAAGTTGATTATGTTGGGGTAACATCTGCCTCAAATTGCCTTCCCATACCAAGATTCTTGTCATGCCTCAGAACCAGGGCCTGGAAGCTCGATTTGGAGACATTGGGCAGTGCAGGCCTAGAGGAGGCTGGGGTCTGAATGTCACCTGTCCATAGCACAAATACTAGACTCCATCGTGGGACATGTGGGGCTGCCTCTCTGAGAGCTATGAAGAAGTAAAATCGATCACCTTCAGCAGAGGGAAGTTGGCAGTAAGGCTGGGGTCCAGCTCTTCCACGCTGTAGATAAGTTCAACCAGTTGAATGTCAGCTCGGCTCAGCTTGTTGCCAACCATGTAGTCTTGTCCGTGGCTCTTTAACACCTGGGGAATTTGAGGAATTGGATTAGGGACACATATCCCATCAGACTGGACACCTGCTTCCTCCGAGCCTCTCCATTCTCACTGTCCCACCCCTGCTTCCTCACTGGGCAGGTTGGAGATCCACACCTTTCTCCATGGTCCCTGATTCATGGGTGACAGTGAGGACTCTGCTCCCTGCTCCACTCCTCGGGTGAAGCCCAGGCTCCCCCTTCCTCTGCTCATTCCTACATCCCTGCAGTGTTCCCACCCCAACCCTTCCTTGCATCTTCCATGTGTTCCAGGGTCTCAGCACCTGCCATGTCTCTGTCCACCCCCTGGCCTACGGCGTGCAGCCCTGACGTGGCAGGACATGGCTGTGCACTCTGCTCTCTCTCTGCAGCCTCCCTGGGGTAGCAAAGCCCTTTCGTGACAGCCCTTTCTTGACTTCATCACCTCCCTTGCAACCTTGACTCTGGATTCTAACTGCCTTGGGTTTTACAGTTTAATAATTTACTAGGATGTCCCCCAGGAGTCCACTTCCCTGGGTCTTCTCCCCTCATGTCCTGCTCTGTGTTCTGAGATCTGAAAACCTACAACATTCTCCTGGTGGGCAGGTGGTGTCTTATCTCCCAACAGGGGGCCAGAATGTTTTCTCGTGCTTTCCCCATGTTCCTCTCGGGTCAAAGCCCAGTGAGTTCTGTAGGCTGCAGATCAATCTCTAGTGTGGCTCTGAGACTTGCATAACCCATATTTTAATTATGAACTTCAAATTCTGTTGAATAGACAATTCTAGATTTGGGTCTAATAATTGAGATTTGCTGATAAATTATTACTTGGGTATTAGTGGTACAATTCTTCTTCACAGTCTCATTTCATAACTGTCTTGTGAATCAGACTGCGGGCTTGGGGGTCAGGAAGTCTCACCAAACATGAAGGTCCCAGCCTCATGATTGCCCAGGCACTATTTTTCTATTGCCTTCTAAACTCTGTGCCTTAAAATGCTAAAAAAAAGTAAGCTTCACTTACTTTTTCTTTATTCATTTCAGGTTAACGTGAGGGTACAACAACCAAATCACAATATTCGTTAGGTAGAGGTCCCTCTTGTAGGTATGTCCTGCATCCAAAGGTGTGCCATACACCCCTATATGGGGCCCATTCATTGGGAGCTCCCCCAAATCCTTCCCTCCTCTCCCCCCTCTTCTGTTCCCCCTCCCCCCAATTTGAATTGAAATGAGTTTTTCTCCTGTGTTCACTCACTTTTTCAAAGGCGGGGAAATAGCGATTTGTTGTTTTCTCCTTGATCAAGGCAAGCTGGGCACCTTGTTCCTCAGGGGGATGGATGGGAAGACGCATGATCATTTCATTCAAATCCACCATGCCTTCTACATACATGTC